GAGAGGCTTACTTCTCGGCTCTCTAACTAGCGTACCTTTTGCCTCAAGGTGGCCGTAGACACTTACTCATGTTCAACTCTGATCATTTTGAGGCTCATCTAAGTTTCCCACGTGTTTGAGCTCGAGTACAACTTCTCAATCTCGAAACAGGGTGAAAATGTTGGACATTTCCCAAAAACTTCAGCGGCAAAGCACAACTGTTAGGTTTGGCTCACCGTCTCGGATAAAAGTTGAAAATAGCTGGGGTAACTAAGCTGTAGTTTTCTTTGCGGTTGTGACCCTCAGGGTCACTTTGCCGTACACACTGGTCTGAAAGTCTTTCTGTTGCTGGCCTGCACGCGACTTTCGTTGGTTCAGGGTTGTCTTAGTCTTTGCATGGATCACTGATTAGTTGGAAAAGACTGTGTATTTTATATATTTATTAGCGTATTTTTATATGTTTAATTTTATCGCACTTATATGTTTTTCGACTTATTTATTTATTAGATGGATTTGAGTGTTATGATATTTTTATGTTTTACTTTTAGGATATTGGAGGATTTTAAGTGGCGACGTGACATTGAAAGAAATTTCATCCGAAGCAATACGGGGGTGCCCTGTACTGACCTAGTAGTGCTCCATACCCACCCGATTTGGGCCTTTATGCATTGATAACTAAAGCCCAAAGTGATATTATTTGATCCAAGAAATTTCAAGTGGGTTGAAGGGCCCACTACCTTTTTGCTAATGACATCAAGCATAATTCTTAGGCCCAAAATGTCATAAAGCTCACGCTACAAGTGAATTAAGAGAAATTGAAGAGCATCAGGGGCGCATGCATTATATATATACTTGGGAGAATTTTCCTTTCTAAAGGAGACACATACGCAGAAAAAGGGAGCCGCCAGAGGGGGAATTATTGGCGAGAGATTAATACGCAGAGAAAAGAAAGCCGCACGGGAAAAAGAGGGACAGACGAAGGGAACCGTTCAATTGCAGAGGGAGACCGCATCTGCAGACGAAATGGATGATCTTATACTCTTTCTTTTATTTTTATTTATTATGTTAGAGTAGATTTTATTTCTAGTTCCGGGAAAGTCGAACCCTATGACTTGACGATGTTTAATTGATTTACGTGGTTGATTGTTGAGTTATCTTTTTAGAATTGTTTGTGTTATTTTGAATAATTAACCATGATGTGTTGAGTCTTATTCAGATTGATCACCTAGATTAGGCTTTTCATATGTATATCTGAATTAGACTTTCAATCCGTAATTGTTGTTGTGTCTAATTCATAAGAGGCAACTGCAAAGACGGTAACTACCGGGGATAACACGGCCTATTTAAGTGAACAAACGCGGTTGAGTTCACTACTTAGTCTAGCCTATTTTTCTAATTCGTAAAGCGGCTAATTGTATTAAATCTTGAAAATATTTTTCTGGACTGTACAAGAAGTCAGGTTTAATCGTAGAGCGTCTCGCGGTTAAATTAAAAATAAGGAAAAATTTGGGTAACAGACAGTGTCGTTACCTAGGGCTAGTAATTCTATGAGATAGCGAGATTTGATACTAAAATTGATTAGATGAGTCGGTCGAGGGAGTAGACGGATCTGTGAACTAGATTTTCTCTATATTTATTCTCTTTTATTTTTATTTTATTGCATTGTTTAGATTTTATTTATTTAATTAGGATCTTAGTTTTTAATCCAATCCCCCCTCATTTATTGCTTTCTTAATTTCAGTTTATACGAGAAATATCACAATTTGATTCACACTTCTCGTGGGATCGACCCTTACTTGCCGCTACTACTAGTTAATAGAGGTTAATTGCTGAAAATTATAAATTCTAATTTGCCGCTTTACGACGCTCGGTCAAAGCTTCTCAACTATAGGGGTAACAAAAGGTTGTACCAACAAAAACTAAACAAATAAATACAGTGGAGATGGCTTAGGCAAATGAGGTGGATGAGAGCATTGAAGAAGAGGATGATGAAGAACCGAACGAGGAAGTTGAAGTCTCGAAGGGAAAGACTATTGATATAGCCATATTATCGGCCCAAGAACTCTCTACTCGACCGGGTAACTACTTAGACCGTCCACATGTCGACGTACTCCCGTCAACATATCTAAGTCGACTTCTACAAAGTCAACTCCTCAGCAAAACAACTACGAAAGAGGGGCGAAATCCATGTAAGTCGACTCCTCAAGGTCGATGTCTTACAGTCGATTCTAGAAGTCGACTTCCACTTAAGAGTAACAGAGCGTACCCTCCGAATCCTCATGTGATCGTAGTCGACCTCTCAGTTCTCGAGGTTGACTTCTTATACCTCGAGACCGAAAGCGTGATGACGACTCGTCAGACTTGCAACATACTTGAGGCTCTGCATTCTTCAACGGATAAGAGGGAATCTTGTGATGACTCAGCAGCAAGGGGAGACGAACCGACCGGGGCATTTTGGACCTTTCATGTAAGTCGACCAGGGCATTTTGAGTACTTCAAGTAAGTGTTTCCTCCTATATAAAGGAGGTGAGGTAACTCTAAACCTTAACTTCCATTCATTCACACTTCCCTCTATAGCTGCTGCACTCTCAGAGCAGCCTCTCTTCATCTCTTTCACATACTGACTTGAGCGTCGGAGGCTCTATGCTGGAAACACTTCCGGCGTTGAGTTCTTGCAGGTGTTTACGGCGGTCTAGCAACGGTTCGAAGGCGATTCAAGCAGATCTGAGCTCAAAACCATTGGTTCTCTTCAGATCTAGAAGTAGACCCATCAACTATTATGAATGAGGAGAATGAGAAGGAGAAATCAATGACGGATGCACGTGAGACTTTACACAAGACGGCTATCTTGCCCAATCCATATTCTTTGGGTTTCAACTTTCATCGAGTTCAGTTTTTTTTATTTTCTTTTCATTATGTTGTTTTCACTCACAATAAAATTAGACTTTAATTTTATTTTTTTCCAATTAATGAAATTGTTTTTTACTTTTATTTTTTCTATTTTTTTTTTTCATTTTATGAGGTAAATCACTACCATGAATCAGAATTTGCATATAGTAATTAATATATGCATTCCAAATTTTGAAGAAGGAAAAGCTATGTGGAAACGGCAAATTTGCCAAACAATCTAATTCTCATTGATTGAACTTTGCTGAAAATTCGAGCAAGAAATCAAAAGTGCTCGACCGAAGCACGTATATATAAGAGCATTGCATATTCCAAGCCAAAAACAGAACAACAAATAAAAGAAAAATCAGAAAAAATCGACATGGCTAATTTTCATACTTCCTTTCTCTCGATTCTTATAGTCATCATTAGCCTCAATCTCATCATAAAACGGAACGAAAATGAAATAAAGCACCTATGCTCGAAAACCAGAAATATATTAAATTGTTACAAACTCATAAAATCCGATAATCGCACCACAAATCACGGCTCGAACGGCCTTGCAGAGGGCTGCTCAAAAGGCTAAGAAAATCCAAGCCGAGTTCAATTCTTTCGCCAATAAGGCAACAAAAGATTCTGAATTGAGAATAAAGTACAATTTGGTCTCTAAAAAATACAGCGAAATCAATAGTAACATTGAAGCTGCAAAGAACGACATTAAATCGCATGCCTATAAGAATTTGCATGGTTCGGTAAAGAGTGCTTATGAAGAAACGTTAAAGAGTATTAAATTGCTCGGGGGATCTAAGGATTATGCGGCAGAATAAAGACCTCGATTTTCTTCTTAGCATAGGTAAAGCTGTTGCAGGTTCTCTTAACAATAAGTAGAAGATTAACTAACTGTACTTGGAAAATCATGTTTAATATACAGTAATCATGTTATTGAATAAATCGCCTTGTGTGAAGAGTTTGAAGTGTATATTACTTGTTTTTCAACTCATATTTAGTTCATTTGGTGAATCTTGATTGAGGTAATGCTCATATTTCTACTATGTCTATCAAACAACTTTAGTACTTTAACTGATAATATATTTACATCAATAAGATAATATATTTCGAACAATAAATAACCTTTTATCAATAAAGGAACTAGCACCAATTGAGTTAAACAAACCAATATTATACCCATTTTGTTTAGGTCTGAAATTCCAAAACCAAACAAAACTCAAGCACTTCACATGTTCAAAAGTTTCATCTCATGAAAAATATATACATAATTTTTCCTTTTAGGTGAATGAAAATATTAAATTTCAATGTTTGAGGTAACTCATCCCTCTTTATTATGTACTATTTTTTCGAACCGATGTATCAACTTCTGGTACTTTGTTACTTCGTAAAGCTCTACGTGAATTTATGGTATTCTAGAGTAGCTAGATCCCGACTTTTATACGGACTTTTTAAAATTACAAAACACTTGAATGAGTAACTTAAATTGTAAATATATTTCAAAAGTTAATAAATGTTTTAGATTTGTTGGTTTTTTTAATTAATGTAATATAAGACGGGTAAGTCGTACAAGTGACGAGCGCAAAACATAAATAATAATGTAATTTTTTCAATAAATTATTTGAAATTTAAATAATAAGTATAAATTTCTTCATTAGTTAACAACAATTAACAACATTATTATATTTTAAAATACATTTACTAACTTGTTACCTCCAAAACAGTGAGAAAATATAACCTAGCAACATTAATTAGTGGATGTATAGAAAATGTTAATGGCTTATACAATGAGAAAATCTAACCTAGCTAGCAACATTAATTAGTGATAGTATAGAAAATGTTAATGGCTTACAGCCTTACACAATGAGTCATAACGTAATGTACCAACACATTGTCACAAACCCAGAAACTCTTTTTTTTTTACTTCCTATCTGTAACGTAGAATTACAGAACAGTAATTAAACCACAACGCCTACTAAGTAATAACTTTAAAAAATCCCAGATTTTTCTTTTTTTTTTCACTTCTTCTCTGTAGACTGTAACGTACAATTCACAACAGTTTAAGTTATTAAAGCACTACACTTAAATANTCCCACCAAATAATCGCCATTGCCCTCATCTTCTCCATCATGATTTCCCCTTTGTTCGCCCATGAAAACGAACACAAACACAAACACAAACACCACAAAAAAAGACACGACCGAAACGAAATCGAGAGGGAGCTTCGAGACCTCAGTTCTCAAACCTCCAACTCAGACGCCAGCTGGCGCATAATCAAACCCGAGCTCGACAAATTCAACGACACAGACCCTACAATCGTGACAGCTGTACTTCTCGAACTCGCAATAACGAGGGGTGATCAGATACACGACAAACTCAATAACTACCACGAGGACTCGAGGAACGACGAGCTTAAGAGCAAATACTTGTCGTGCTCCAAGAATTACAACGACGCGGTTCGAAACCTCAACTTGGCGAAAAATAATTTGGAATCGGAAAATTACGAAGATATCCCTATACAGATTGTGGATACTCAACAGGAGTTGGAAGGGTGCAGGGGAGATTTCTGTGAGGGCTCGTTCGACCCGGGACACATTGGAGATAGGATTAACGAGTTCGAGGTTTATGTGGATATTGTTAAAGTGTCCGTGGACCGTTTGCTCGATTGGGACTCGAACTCGATCGAGGAAAATAATTAGTAAAAGTGTAGTGTCCTTTTTTTCACTAGTGTCTTTCAACAATAAAAGAAGGAAACAGGACTAGGAATACATATGTTTTAATGATGATTTGTAATCCTTTTTCGTTTTTCGGTTATTTCTTTCGTGAGTTCGCGTGAATTCATTCAATATGATGATTGTAATTTGCAGGCGGTAATTTTTCTATGAATGAAAAGTCATGTGAATGAATGTACATTTGTCAAACAATATAATTCCCATCGACAAACTTCGCCAAAATTCGGGAACGAAATAAACAATCACATGAAGGTGTTCGAGCCAAGCTCTTATATAAGAAGTACTCCTCGACGAACCACATAATATACCAAGTGAATCCAAGATAACCAAAACAAAGTAAAAGAGAGTCAAGAAAAACAATAATAATAATAATAATAATAATAATAATAATAATAATAATAAAAGAAGAAGAAATGGTTCTCTTTCGAAACTTCTTTGTCTCCATTCTCGCGTCGTATACATGATGTTATAACAAAATTTTGAAATTTTATGTTGTACGAACTGCTGAAGAAGGTATTATGCATAGTCTCTAGAAAACACGAACAATCATGTTAACATAAAAAAAATCACGTTGTTTGAAGAGATTTCGAGATATTACTCATCGGTTGAGCTCTGCTAAAGTCACCTAACAAAACATAAAATTCTTGTATGAGGCGAACAAACGATTAGATGGGTCGACCGTTGTATATTTTTTCTTTTTCACAAAAATGCATATTTGTGATATGAAATGTTAGTGTTGTTATTTATATTGTTTTTCTATACTAATGACATTCAGTTTCAAAATATGCATATTGGTTGAATAAGAATGGATGCTTAATCGCTTATAACAACAACCTTATTCCTTTATTGAACAACTCTAATTGATTTCTTATCTAAGTACATTAAGCATAACAAATGACCTTTGGAAACTTCATCAAACATGAAAATAATAACACCAAATGAACTAATGCCATAACAACCATTATATTTGTTCATGTCTGAAACAATAAAAGCACGCTAAACTCTATCTCATCTCAGGAAAACGTTCAAAGGTTTTAACTATACTCCCCTCATTTTCTTTCAAGTAAATAACACAAATTCTTGAGCTACGAAATGTCGTATTTTTATTTATATGGTTTTACCGTTTTTAATTTTGAAATTATGCATGCACATCTTAAAAATAATTATTGTCTAAAAGCCTAACACAACATTAACATAACATTTAATTTATTTTATACATATACTCATTAAGTAATTAGTGATTGCCTCCAAAACAACTAGAAAAATAGCCATCCAAGAAGACCCTACAGCGTTAATTCGACAGATATATTAATAAATGATAATCAATGACTCAAAAAGTCTCAAACTTAACCTACAAACCCAGAGAAAAATAAAAATAAAAAAACAAAAAACCACCCAAAAAATAAAAATAAAAATCATGGCCTTTTCTCCCCTACAAACAATCCTCATTGCCCTGATTCTCTCTGCCTCGATTTCCCATTCGCTCGCCCGTAAACACAAACACCAGCACAAGCACCACCACCGTGAAAGAGACGAGCCAGAAGAATACATACCGGACGATCTAAACCGTGAGCTCAAGGACCTCTACTCACAAACTCCAAAGTGTGTTGGCACATAATCGAGCCCGAGCTCAGCCAGTTTAAAGACACGGATCCCGATAGCATAACCGACGTGTTACTCGACCTAGCAATATCAAGGGCCAACGAGATACACGACGAGTTAAACGGGTACCATGAGGACTCGAAAAACGACGAGCTTAAGGGGAAATACTTATCGTGCTCCAAGAATTAAAATGATGCTGCTCGAAATCTGAACCTGGCCAAGACTAACTTGGGATCGGGTGATTATGGGAATATACCAATACAGATTGAGGATACTCAACAAGAGTTGGAAGGGTGCAGGGGAGAGTTTGGTGAGGGCTTGTTTGACCCGGGCCACATTGGGAACAGGGTCAACGAATTCGATCTATACGTGAGTATTGTGAAGGTGTCTGTAGACCGGTTGAGGGATTGGGACTCAAGGGAGGACATTGATTGAAATCTGGATTTATTTAATCTTTTTTTTTAGCTTAAAATGCATGACAATAACAATATTTGGAATTTTGAAAAATTGTATTTGCTTAACAACTGATTTATTATAATGAAACTTGGTTGATAATTTAAACATAAAAGCATATGTGCTCGAATAAATAAAGGAACTCAACAATATGCACTAGTCCGAATGGAATTGACTCAATTTTCTTTTTGCAATTAGATAATCATCAATGGTTGTTTCTGCAATTATGGTTCTCGTATTTTCATTCTCATTACGTTGTCCACGAGCTTATTAGTTTCCAATTTTGAATTTTCATCAAGCAAAAAAAAAGTCTTAATTGATATCAAGAACAAGCAATGATAAAAGCCCTTCACTCTCAGTTTTCTTAGGTACAAACAAAAGCATCACGTACACGATGAAAGTTTTCTTTGGTACAAACAATTTTCACAATCCCCTCTTTCCATCCATACCCCAATCCTCGTATCTGCACGAAAAAACGAACAAACAACTTATGAACAACAAAAGGTCCGTCCAGTCATCAAACAACCCCATAGAAAACGAAAAATCCATATCAAACTTCATATATATATATATATATAATAATAATACCTGCAAGGCTGCAATTTTTTCAGACATTAGGGTCGATAAGCTCTCCATTCAAATACTCCCTGTAGGCAGCAACAGGCCAGCTGAAACCTCTCCAGACGAGCTTATTGGCAAGTGGCACGTCGATTATAATCTCCTTCATTGTTGGTTTTTTCTCGTCTCTAATGGCGATTAAGTAGCTCCGGCCAACCCACCCAATCCATCCGGCAATGTACAAGAACAATATGCCCGGAGTAATGAACTCACCCCAGTGCCGCTGGTCCCCGCTCACGATCAGGTGAGGGAGACCATCTGAACCGCACAAAAGGCCTTGTTTGCCATAGTTATCAAACCTATATAACAAAGACATGAGAAGCAAATTTTGTTTTTTAGATTTTCTTTTTTTCTTTTCAAAATCGATTACAAGTGTTTTCAAGCAATCACTAGTTAAAATTGAAATGCGAAGCTCAGTCATCTTTCCTTGATGAAAAATCCCAAGAACTACACATACCATTAGAATGAATACTGATTTACCCACTGAAATCAAAATTGTCTTGATTATACTCATGGAAAGTCCAAATTTCATATACATGAATCATATTATCACACAGATTAATCAAATGTCGAGCAACAAAATACGGGTACTGAAAAATTTACAAGCAAAAACCCGAGATCAAAACACTGCATAAAGCTAATTACTAATTCAACCAGTCACTGGGTACAAGATTCTGACACCAATGGAAATCTGATTGTTACTTTTCTCAAATTTAAGCAATGTAGTCACAGAACAGTTGCACAGAATAACAGCTAATCTGAGATCATTAGATCATTTATGTCTGGCGAAACTAATCACACACATTCATACAAAGGGTAGAGAGATGAATGTTTCACAATTCACGCACATTCAATGATTCAAACATTTCCGAAATTCAACAACAGACCAAAACAGATCAAGGCGAGAAAATAAACACGAAAATGCATACCTGCGCTTGGTCTTCTCGATGGTGGCCTGGATGGCGAGGGCGGGGGCGCTGTCGGGGGCGTACAGCTTGAGCGACGACTCGAGCTTCTTAATCTCCTGCTTCTCGCGCTTCGCGAACTGCTTCGACTCCTTGCACGGCGTCAGCCCCGAGATGTCTGCGGACGCCGGCAGCACCGGCGCGGAGAGGATGACCGACGACAGCGCCAGCGCTGTGGAGAAAGCCTTGAGCTGGGACGACGTCGCGGCAGAGGACTCCTCGGAGGTCGCCTGACATACTACGGCAGCGGCGGTTCTAGGTTTTCCGGCAAATTGAGAGCTGAATTTGGGGGTTGTGATGGATTTGGAGAGGTTCGTGGGGATCGTGAGCGACATTTTTTAATTAAATTTTATTTTTTTATTTTATTTTTTTATTGGCCAGTATTTTGGACCGATATTTTACGGTATTTACGGTATGATCTCGGGACAAACTGATATAACCGTTGTAGAAGAGGATAAGGTGAGATTAAATGGGTTGATGCTGAGCTGGCGGGCTGGCATTGGTTGGATTCAGCTGTGAGTTTAGTTAATCTATCCATCTGTGCAGGCTATTCGTGTTGCCTCCACATGTTGCTGGATTTGGAATTTGTACGATATTATTTCTTTTTGTGTATAAAATTTGAATTAACAAAAAACATAATGCTATCGTTTTCTTTTTATTTTCCAAACCGTGATAATTTTTTTATAAAAATATTAGATATATTATTTAAAAAATTATAAACTCCATATACAAATGCGATTTTCTCGAAATTAAGTGCCGTGTTTTATAATCTTTTGTGCCGAATCTAGTGTTCGATAATCGTTAAGTCATGAACATTCGTCTATCAAAGCTTTTAAAATTACAAAATACTCAAACAATTCAACTTCATTTTAACACTTAAGAAAATTTTTATTTATTGTCTATTTTTTATATATGTATGTCACATTAATTATCTTTTTTACGATATTTAGTTTGACATTCCATATCTCTATGACAAATGCTGCAGCAGCTAGCCGGCAAACTTTAATTAATTCGAGCTTGGGCTTGAGCTTCTATCGAGCCAAGCTGACGAATGAACTTGAGCTCGACTCATTTTATATCTCTATTTTTTTTTGCTTCCTCGTTAATAAACAATCTTGAATACGACTTGATTATCAAGCAAGATCGAGCCTTAACAAATCGAGTCCATCCAAGTTAATGAACGACCCGATTCAATACCACCTTTGGATTAGATCATTTACATCTAGCTAAGTCTCACGATCAATCTCGAATCAGATCATTTCATTTAACAACTCTTTTTCTTTATCCCAGAGACAAACGGGCTCTTAATTAAAACTTCTTTTCTGAAATCCAGACGCTAGTTAGAGTGGACTCACCTTCCCAATGTTATTAGTTGATGATTAATTTGTTCAATTAAAATTTCAATTAATGGTTAATCGACGAACAATAGTAACAACCCAACTAGCCAAACAACCAAGCAAAAGAGAAAAGTTTGACTTGAAGAATCTCATATAAATCACATGTAATCAATCACTTAGTCAATCAATCATACACATTATTGTACACACAAGTAATGAACTGAGACACAACAAAAACACAAACAAATCATTTTTTCTCTCTCTCTGTTCGTATCACTAAACGTTGGCCGAGTTGTCGGGCTTGAAGTTGGCCTTTTGAGGCGGAGAAGTTGCCGGAGCTAAACTTCCGGGCGGCGGCACAGGGGCACCAAAGACCTGAGCATTGGTGTAAACTTCTCGCCTGCCTTTGGCTCGTCCGAATAGATAACACCCAAATCCAAGAAGCAGAGAAAATAGGATTAATGGCAAAGATAAAACTATTACCATCCCCATTTGTTTTCCGCCTTAATTAGCTCGAGAATTTTTCGACACTTTTGCAGCGTATGCTTAGAGAGATGTAGGGGAACAATGGTGATTTGATTAATGTGTTGTTTGTTCAGCACAAGGAAAGTGCTTTTAATAAAAGAGAAGTGGAAATTTCGAGAGTCTCTAACGTTCAAGTTTTACAACGTTCACTTTATTTATTTATTTATGTTTTTTTTTTGGCCACTAGGTTTTTGAAAGCTGTCATATAGTGAAATTTTGGGGGAAATGGTCTTTTAGACAGGTTGGCATAATATTGGGCCATCTGGGTTTTACATCAGCACGATGGAGAATTAGGAGAGAAGTCGATGCTCAATGGAGAAAAAATGAGTTTAACTTTAAACGAGCTGAGCTCGGTTCGTTTGAGATTAATTGAGCTCACGAGCAGTTAGTTTCATTTAACAACTCTAATAATACTCAAAATGAGGTTATTTTGAAATTGAACATTATATTATGTAGAGGTCAACCAAAGGATGCAAGACCATATATAATCAAAGAAATATCTTTTCATGTAGGTTGAAATTAATTTCACATTCGCCAAGTCTTTTGGTATTTTGGAGTTGATAAATAATTTGTTCACGTTTTTCGCTTTGTATATACTTTTCTTTGCATGTTGTTGGGCTTGTAAAGCTTGTTAACCAGTTCGAACTTAGGGTACTCGAACTCGAGCTCCAGCCCTTAACGAACCGAGCCGAACCGAATTTGGATCGTAAAATAAACGAATAAGAAATCGAGCTCGAGCTTGGCTCATTTATCACTATTATTGAGCTGAGTTCGAGCCTTAGCGAGTCGATCTCGAGCTTTAACGAGTCGAATTATAAACAAAAAAAAATCTCTTTTCGAACCGTATCGACTCAAGCCGAGTTCGTTTATCTTTTTTTTTTTCATGAACAAATAGTAAAATTCAATTAACGATTCTACCGTTTGCCCAAGGCGCAAAAGTTGCCTGTGCCTTTAAAAACAGAGGTTTCAAAAACACTCGCATGAATGAACGGAGAAACAGAGCAGACATCACTTATTAAATTCATGTTTAAATGTATAAGAGAATCTCATCTCTTTCCCGTCACCGTTTTCTTCATTCATCATCACAGTCTTTACCCAAAACGCAGCCATCGTTTTTCCCTTACACGGAGGAAGTTATTGCGTCCCATCTCGCGCCGCTATTACAGCAAAAGGGCCCTCGTTCTCCCTTCATCCTCCGTCAAACACAGCAAATCCACGCGCAGATCACCGTTAATGGGCTCCACAAAATGGGCATTTTGGGCACAAGGGTTTTGGGCATGTACATACTCTGCAACAGCTACTTCGATGCCAAGATATTGTTTTCTCAGCTTCAGTTGTCCTACGCCGCCCCTTGGAATTGGATGATTCGAGGGTTCACCACCACGGGCTATCACGAGCAGGCGATTTTGTTCTACTTCAAGATGCTCGTATTCGGCACGAGCCCCGATAAATACACGTTCCCGTACCTAATCAAGGCTTGTGGCGGTCTACGCGCCGTTGATGTAGTGAAACACGTGCACTGTATGGTTATGGATTTGGGTTTTGAGCAGGATGTGTATGTGGGCAGTGCTTTGGTCAAATTCTATGCCGAGAATGACTGTTTGGAACGTGCGAGGCAAGTGTTTGATAAATTGCCTCAAAGAGATATCGTTTTGTGGAATGTGATGCTTCACAGTTACTTAAAGTCTGAAACTTTAGCAGATAACGTGATTGTTCTGTTCAAAGATATGAGGAAAACTGAAGTTTTGCCTAATTATGTGACCTACACTTATGTTCTGTGCTTATGTGGTTCGAAATCGATAGCTAAGCTCGGAACTCAGGTTCATGGTTTAGTCGTGAAGTGCGGTTTGGACACAGATTCTTCAGTAGTCAACACGTTGCTCTCGATGTATTCGAAATGTCGTTGCTTGTTCGATGCTCGAAAGCTGTTTGACTCTGTTGACCAACCGAATCTCGTCACCTTTAATGGGATGATCGGAGGATACGTTCAGAATGGGCTAATGACCGAAGCTCTCGATTTGTTCCGTTTAATGTTATCCTCAAACGCGAAGCCCGATTCAGTAACTTTCGCGAGTTTGCTCCCATTAGTTCCCGAGCTGGGCCTTCTCGATCATGGAAAGGAATTCCACTGTTACATCATCAGACACGAAATATCGTTCGATTTATTTTTAAAGAATGCTCTCGTCGACATGTACTTCAAATGCAAGCACGCGAAAATGGCTTGCAGAGTCTTCGAATGGAGCCCGGATTCGGACATCGTTGTTTGCACGGCCATGATCTCCGGGCTCGTCCTCAACGGGATGAATTTCGAGGCTCTCGAAATTTTCCGATTTTCGCTCGACCAAAAAATGAGACCCAATGCCGTAACATTCGCTAGCGTTCTACCCGCCTGCACGGGCCTGGCCCGTTTAAAACTCGGCAAGGAGCTTCACGGAAGCATAACTCGAAAAGGGCTTGAAGGAAAATGCTACGTGGGGAGCGCGCTAGCCGACATGTACGCGAAATGCGGGGAATTAGACCTCGCCCGTAAAGTGTTTGACAGAATGCCCGAACGAGACTCCGTTTGTTGGAACTCGATGATCGCGAGCCTCAGCCGGAACGGGGAGCCGGAGGCCGCCGTCGACCTTTTCCGGCAAATGGGCTCCGATTACGACCCGGTCAGCATATCATCCGCCTTGTCAGCATGCGCTGACCTGTCGGCCCTCGCCCACTCGCGAGAAATCCACGGCTTCATGACGAGAAACGGGCTCGATTATGACATCATCGCGTGTAGCGCGCTAATCGACTCGTACGCTAAATGCGGCGACTTGAGGTCGGCCCGACTTGTTTTCGACAAAATGGGGCCCATGAACGAGGTCTCGTGGAACAGCATTATCGCGGCCTACGGAAGCCACGGCGAACTAGACGAGTGCCTTTCGCTCTTTCGACAAATGGAGACCGAAAATTTATTCGAACCTGATCACGTGACTTTTCTCACCGTGATATCCGCGTGTAGCCATGCGGGCCGAGTCGAAGAAGGAAAACTGCAGTTCGAACGAATGGGCCGAGACTATGGGATTAAGCCCAAGATGGAGCATTATGCTAGTTTAATCGATTTGTACGGCCGTGCGGGCCGTTTGGAAGATGCGTGTTGTGTGATTGAAAAAATGCCTTTCGAGCCGGATGCTGGAGTTTGGGGGACATTGTTGGGAGCTTGTCGAATGCATGGCAATGTGGAGCTAGCCGAGAAGGCTTCTAAGCATTTGTCTCGTTTGGACCCTCAAAATTCGGGTTACTACGTTTTGTTGTCGAATTTGCAAGGGGAATTCGGGACGTGGGCTCGGGTTGATGAGATTCGGGGTGTGATGAAGGAAAATCGGGTGAAGAAAATACCGGGCTATAGCTGGGTTGAGGTGGATAAGGGGTATCATGTGTTTGGGGCTGGGGATAAAAGTCATCCACAGACAAGTAGGATTTATGAGATGTTGAGTAGTCTTCTTGTGGAGCTTCAAGATGAAGGGTTTGTTCACGAAGTATACAGTTCTAATCAGTTGACAGTTGATGCAGTATAAAGTATTATTGCAAAGTGTAGAGTAGTGATTAGTTATGCACTTCTTTTTTCTGTTTCATTTTCTTGTTTTTGTGTAATCTTGATTATATGCAGTGAGATTGTATAAGGATGATACAGGAAGGATGATTCAGTGAGATGATTGAATAAGAATGCTACACGAAAGGTGATNTGTAAAACTGATGATAAATTTGGCAACACCAAAAGGATGATACCATTTTTTTATTTTTTTTTTTTCGATCTCTTTCTTTTGGTTCGAGTCTTTTTGTGTTTCTCTTGAGTTTCATCTCTAGCCTACCCGACTTGCTTGGGACTAAAGACTATGTTGTTGTTGTTGTAATCTGATTTAGAGAAAGCATTATTCTCTGTACTAACTTATTGATGGCATCTCTAGTATGCAGCATTTGGGCCTGGACCAACAATTACACGATTCGTTTACTGTAACAATAACAACTTCCGTATGGCCCACTAATCATCTTGAGTTGTTAAGTTATTGGGCCCAACATCATAGCCCGACGAGAAAACAAGGGCAATTATGTAAAATAGAATTACCATCGACGAACAGCAAATCATCTTCTTCTTCTCCCTATCCTGATTCAAAAACTTGAACCATTTTTCTCTTTCACCTTTGTTTCTGATGTAAACGAAAATCAAGATGCTCGGCGGTTTATCATTTTCTGAAACCTTCGTAGATTTTATGCCCTTGTCAAATTACAGTTGCAATTCGCCGTTCAATCGCCGGTTTTCAGTACCGTGGAGGCCCATTACCGTCGCCGACCCAAGGAGGAAAAATCTAAACAGAATTACGGCGAGAAGCTCTTCAAGTGATGGGGGCGGATTTGTTCTCGATAAAGATTTTGAATTTAAGCCTTCGTTTGATGAGTATTTGAAGGCTATGGAGTCTATCAAGACTGACAGAGATAACAACAGTAGCTCTAATGATCAGAGTAGTAGTAAGAGTCCGAGGAAAAAGAAGGATGCGAAGAATTTTGCTCGAGAAGAAGGTAAGGTCAGTAGTGATGAGGCGACTGTTGCTCGAGAAAAGCCGAGAAAGGATGAAGCTAGCAAGAAAAGTGCATTAGCTAAAGTGGGCTCGAGAAACGTTGCTTTGCGCGTGTCGGAAAATGTCAGCAAGAAGCCGGTTAGAAATCTCAAGAACTATGCTGGAAAGAACTCGAATTTTGAAAGAGATGCATTCAAGACATTGAAGGATGATGATGATGCCATGGATGAGCCAAGAGTTGGACGGGTCGACATGGAGGGGAGGATTCAGAAGCTTGCCAAGTGGTTAGTAATCAATCAGCAGTAGTGTAGTTAATTGGATATTTGGATATTTTTATGATGTTGGGGGCAATTGGCTTGTGAAAATGACTTGTTTTTGGGAGCTCTTTGTACACTCCTCAGCCAACAGCTTTGGCCCTTTAGTATAGAATCTGGTCCAAATGAATTATGATGGCAATGAGTGCTAAAGAGGTCACCATATATACAAGGTCTAAAATCATTATTTACGAAAGTTGAGCGTGTTGTGACTTCATTTTTTATTTGGTGGCATGCTGTAGTAAGTATATCATCATGCTTGAAATATAGTATATGCTCGTTTTTCAATAATTCGGAGATTCTAAAGATTCAAACTTTATGCCCCTATAAGGAAAAGGCTTGGTGTTTCAGTTTCTTGCATGTTTGATTTATTACATGTCGTATTTCGGTGAACTTTGTCATCAGAATTGTTTGCTCTACTTCTCATAGTAAAGTAGTTTTACTTGTACAGTCTGAATGGTGCAGACATTGATATTCCTGCATGGCAGTTTTCAAAAATGATGATGAGTGCTCGAATAAAATTTTCGGATCACTCTATTTTGAGAGTTGTCCAGATATTGGGTAACTTGGGAAACTGGAAACGGGTGCTCCAAGTCATAGAGTGGATCCGAGCACGTGAGCGCTTCAAATCCAACAGGATAAGGTATGTTTTTGTTTTCTCTGTAGCTCATTTTACACCAGTAAAATCAAATTGAAGATTTATCAAGTTATGGGGTCAATTCTTGCATTCTCTATTATGGCATTCAGGTCAGTGTAGATATAAATTTATTAAATTATTGAACGGATCTTAAAAAACCCTTTTTGTCGGACTGGACAAAAATATGTAAAGGAACTCGTAGAAATACAATACATTTCAAGAAAATAATTGTAGGTCAGAAAGAAAGGGGTTTGTAAGGATTGCTTCTATTTCTAAATATTCTTGTTGGAAAATTTAGAAATTGTCATATACTGTGTAATTAACTTTACACGATAAATTTTGTTATAGTGAAGCATGTTAACAAGAGTAGCATTATTGTGGAATCTTATCATCTGGTAAAATACCTATAAATTGCCTTTTTAAGGTATTTAATGACTAGATATGATGGTAAAAATCTTTTAGTTTGCTGTTGTTACTTTGGACTTGGAAATTTTTGTTATAAAAA